TATTAAATAATAGAACAAAAAGTAATCTTGCCTTATCTGCGGAGCGTTCTGCAACGACCGACTACTATACACGCCACTCTCGTTTTTACCACACTTTCTCTAATTAAACGAACGTAACACAACACACGTGTACGCAATCCAATTAACATTGGATTACGTGGAATTGCAATATTCTAAGATGTATCCTCGATGTAAAACACGTTGAACAAAAAGATTTACTACGTGTTCATTTTTCGACACATTTAAGAAACTGTGATTAACCACGAACGTAAGAAGTATCTTTTAGAACGTTAAATGCTTGGTAAAATGGAACTAAATAAAAAGCTATTGAGCACAACACGTCATAACGCCGAAAAACAAGCTACTCATCCACCGCTGACTGTCCCTTCATAGTTCTGTCCAACAATTCGTCACCAGAATCGAGTTCACCTTCTCCTCCTTAATCCCTCTCTTATAAATACATCCGAAAAATCCCTTTCTAATCGTTATAGAAACCAAGCGAGGATAGTTAAGAGCGGTCGATCTAGTACACAGCAGAAAACCACAACGTCTCTTCCCTTCGTGAAGTTCGCGACTTGCAAATTCAGAATCCGCGAGTATAAGTGTCATCGTTAAAATAAAAGTTATATTGTTAAAATATAATTGATATCAACTTTCTTCCCCGGATTTCAACAGTATTTGTGACATGAACTTGTTTATGGAACGTCACGAGGAACATGTTCACTTCGCTAATGTCGAAACCTTACTGGACACGTGCGTTTAGGTGTCGAGGACAACTTGTAAGGTTTGTGTTCTATGGAATAAAAGAGGGGGAACATGTACTTGTTTATTTTGCACGACATAATTACTGTTCGATTATAAATAATTGTATTGTTTCTATTATCCATTGTAGGACCTTATATTTTATAGCTTGGCTGTTAAGGAAAAATACCGATGTTTGGATATAACCTATACACGAAACTTTAACAACTACGTTTAATCATATTTTTATTTTTGCATATGAGGAGCTTTTTGAAAAAATTTCTTCTGGCTATTTCATGGTATCAATTAAAACTTTAAGTAAGTAATTTCAAATTAAGGTTCAGAGGTGCTAGCATACTACTTGAGGGATAAATATGAAACAGAAAAAAAAGAGACTCGTAAAAGAGGTTAGGTTATGCGAAATTTTGTTTGCTAAGTTATTCCGATAACCTCACACTGTCATTATGGATAAAAGTTTTTGACTGAATATATAATTCGGTTCACATATTTTATTTACAAAGGATAGGGAAAATAATTCTAAAATTATCAGACGATTA